TGTTCGAACAACTGCTTCTTGGTCTAGGTACAGATTTCTCAGAAGTACAATTAAGTGTTCTGGAATACTCATACTTCTCAATGTTGTCCATAGCTTGTATTGCCTCTATATAGAGTTTATTTAAATAGTTTTTTAAATGATTTTATATTATGAGTTTACTAGTTCTCAATCCTACCTATCCTGGAACAAGGCACTCCTGAAGTGTTAACTTTTCCTATTTTTCTCATGTCCAATCATCAAGTCTTGCCAATTTGACTTTTTGAATATTCTTCTTCCCTTCCAGTCCTCTCCTACTCTAGTAAATGCCTGGTTGTCTCTTAGCTGAACTCATGCACTGGTCTTCTAATGATTGTCTCTCTGCTTACACTCAGAGTCAATCTCAGCACAGTAGCTGGAGGGGTCTCCAGAGATGGATTTGATCAAGTAGCCCCTGATCAACTCCCTTCAATAGATCACCACTACCAACAATACTGGTGACTCTCCAAGGCCCAAAGTCCCTCCCTGAGCTCAACTAGTTGACAAGTCAGAGTTAGCCTTCCTCCGTGGCAGCTCCACAGTACAGGCAGCCTCAGCCTGGGCCTTTCTTGAAGTGAGGCCCTCAGCCAGGAAAACCTTTCCAGAAGCTTTTTTTTTTGCTCAGTTGACCAACTGACTCCATACCCTCCAGTCCTCAAATCAGACTCCAGCTCCAGGATCTTCCCCTCAACCAAGACCTCTAGTGCTAACTTGGTCTCAAGAATTACAAAACAAGACAACGATGTTTTAGAATATCTTGTTTTGTTGGAAGAGTTTGTAGGGAAGGATACACTTGATGACTTAAGACACACTGGACATTCATAGAATTCCCAGTAAATATAATTTAAATAGAATCAAATGGGTGCCTTATCTCCATACTGGTTAATATCCAATAGATATATACATTCACTAAAGAGAGTATCCGTGTTCCAAATCTGCCTCAGATAATTTCTAGCTGGGAGCCCTACTCCAGGGCAGAGGTATGTTCTACTAAACTCTACGGGCCTGGGACAATCCTTTAACTTGGGACATTTAAAGGTGGTTTCCAATGCATTATGGCCCAATTCAGGGTAGAAGGGATCACACAGAAAGAGAAATCTCCAAGCAGAGGTCCAAGGTTGTGATTAAATGAACCCCCAGGAAAAGGTTCCCACAGAAGAACAGAAGCAGGAGGGCTGGGAAGAGGCCATGGATTCAGTCCCATACCTGAGGGAGTCTGAGAAAGCCTCTATGCCATATTTGGAGATGCAGTAGCCTCCACCAAAAAGGGACACTCTGCCCATGACACTGGCCACATTAACCACGCGGCCCCTTGCATTCCTCACTAGAGGCAGCAGGCTCAGGGTCACTTCGATCACCCCTAGCAGGTTCACATCCAGTATCTTCACGAAGTCCTGTTTGGTCAGCCACTCGTTGGGTGCCATGGGTATGGAGATACCAGAGTTATTCACCAGGCCCCAGAGACCTGGAGACAGTGGGAAATTAGAGAAAAGACATTAGACATTGTGAGGGTATTTCTAGTGTGTACACATTTATGGTCCAAATTCACATTCCTATTGAGTGAAAAGATAGCAAAAGATGTTGGATGGGGAAAGTAGAGTAGAATAAATAACACGCAATATCTTCAGGGTGTTGTGGGTTTGCAGATCCTGTAAGCTGTTTAATGACAGTAACTATTTCTTCCTTCTTGCGTACTCCATGGCCCAGACCACTGTCTGTGAGATAATAGGCAATCCCTCATACTTACTGAATGCAGAAACTGTTACTAAATAAACAGAATGTATCCATTAGTCTAGAAACACAGATAATAATGTTTTGGGTTTTTTTTTTTTTTACATATTAGTAGGATAAGTTAACTACAAGGTCAGCGATTCAAACCTACCAGCCACTCCTTGGAAACTCTATACAGGGTCACTATGAGTCAAAACTGACTTGATGGCACTTAACAGCAACAAAGCAACATATATTTAGCAACATTTTCAGATTATTATTGACACTTTATAGGAGTTATGCTTTGCTTCTGTAGCATCAGCGCTAGACTGCTAATCACAAGATCTATGGTCAAACCCACCAGCTGCTCCTTGCAAACCCTGTGCAGGGTCGCTATGAGTCCAAACTGACTCCATGGCACTTAACAACAACAACATGGACACCTTATATCTTACATAGAGAGTACTCTACAAATATCTATTGAAGAAATGAGTGAAACAAGAAAAGAAAAAGAAAGAGGAAGGGATAGAATAAGAGAGAAGACAAGGGGCAGTGCAGTGAATCACTTGATATGTCTCTTCTAGCCAGTGTTTGTAATTCTTACCAAATGACTGGATCAACACCAAGTTATTAGGTGCCTTCGAATCAGTTCCAGTCCCTAGCAACTCTGTGTACAACAGACCCAAACACTGCCTGGTCCTGCACCATCCTCACAATTGTTGGTGTGCTTGAGCCCATTGCTGTCATCACTGTGTCTTCCTCTTTCTTGCTGACTCTCCACTTTACCAAGCAGGATGTCCTTCTCTAGGACTGAGGTCTCATTACAACATGCCCAAAGTATGTGAGATGAAGTCTCACCATCCTAGCTTCTAAGGAGTATTGTGGATGTACTTCTTCCAAGACAAATGTGTTTCTTCTTCTAGCAAACAAGGGTACTTTTCAATATTCTTCACCAGTACAATTAAAATGCATTGATTGATCTTCCTTATTTGTTGTTCAACTTTCATATACATAAAAGAAAGTTGAAATGTCTCAACAAGCTGATGAAGCACTCATTTGGAAAAGCCACAAAATGTGGAAGACAGCTACCTGGCCAACCAATTGCAAGGGATCCATATCTGTGCCCATTCCACAGAAATATAACCAAACAGAATTTGGAAACCACCAAGCAGTATCATTAATATCACATGCAAATAAAATCTTGCTGAAGATAATTTAAAAATGGTTGCAGTAGTACATTGACAGGGAGCTGCCAGAAATTCAAGTTGTGGTCAAAAGAAGATGTGGAATGAGAGATACTGACATCAGATGGATCTTGGTTGAAATTACAGAATACTAGAAAGATGTGTACTTGTGTTTTATTGGCTATGCAAAGGTGCTCAACTGTGTGGATCATAGTAGACTATGGATAACTTTGAGAAGAATAGGAATTTCAGAGCATTTAATTGTCCCATGAGGCACCTATTCATAGACCAAGGAGCAGTCATTCAAACAGGACAAGGGATTAATGAATGGTTTAAAATCAGGAAAGTTGTGTGTCTGGATTGTATCTTTTCACCATACTTATTCAATCTGTATGCTGAGCAAATAATCCAAGAAGCTGGATTATATGAAGAAGAACATAGCATCAAGATTGGAGGAAGACTCATTAACAACCTTACTTGCTGGAAGCAAAGAGGACTTGAAATAGTGATGAAGTCTTCAATATGGATTGCACTACAATGTAAAGAAAATGAAAATACTCACAACCAGACAATAAATAATAATATCATTAAAAATGGAGAAAAAAATTGAAGCTGTTAAAGTCTTCATTTTGCTTGGATCCACAATCAATGCTTATGGAAGCAGCAGTCAGAAAATCAAATGGCATATTGCATTGGGCAAATCTGCTGCAAAAGACTTTTCTAAAGTGTTAAAGAGCAAAGATACTTCTATGAGGACTAAAATGTTCCTGACCCAAGTCATGGTATTTTCAATCATCGCCCATGCATGTGAAGCAGGACAATGAATAGAAGACCGGAGAACAATCGATGCATTTGTATTATGGCATTAGAGAAAAAGATTGAAAATACCATGGACTGCCAAAAGAACAAACAAATCTGTCTTGGAACAAGAGCAGTCAGAATGCTTCTTGGAAATAAGGATTGTAAGACATCATCTCACATACTTTGGACATGCTATCATGAGGGGCCATCCCTGGAAAAAGACATTGTTGTTGTTGTTAAGTGCTGTAGAGTCAGTTCCCAGTCATAGCCACCTTGTATAGTGTTTCTGAAGAGGAGTTGGTAAGTTTAAACTGCTGACTTTGAGGTTCAAACTGACCTTGAGGTCCAGTATTTTATCCTACAGTGCCACACCAGGACTCCAGAAAAGGACATTATGCTTGGCAAAGTAAAGAGTCAGCAAAAAGGAGGAGGATTCCCCCACCCCCACCCCACCCCCCCGAGATGGACTGACATAGTGGCTGCAACACTAGGCAATATGATGATGGGACAGGAGTGAGCAGTGTTTCATTCTGCTTTGCATAGGGTCGCTATGAGTTGGAACTGACTTAACAGTGTTACATATAACAACATAACAATGTTGAGATTGATCAGTTTTGCCATCCAGTTAGGTTTAAAATGAGCCGTCTCAGAAGCAGGAATTGAGATCTCACAGTCCTGGTATGGTGCTATGGGTTAATGAACTGGACTACAATGTCAGTTTGAACTGCAAGGTCAGCAGTTCAAGTTCACCAGCCACTCCTTGGAAACCTCCCTATATAGGGTCTCTATGGGTTGGAATCAACTTGATGGCACATAACAACAACAACAACCATCAGGTACCACCACTTGTCTGTCAATTTGCCGTACTATGGTGGCTTGCATGTTGCTATGATTCTGGAAGCTATGCCACAGGTATTTTAAGCACCAACAAGGTCAACCATGGTGGACAGGTTTTAGATGAGCTTCCAGATGAAGACAGACTAGGAAGAAGGAGAGACAGACTGTTTTTGAATATTTAATCACTGAAAACCTTATGAATAGCAGAGGAACACTGTCAGCAACAGAATATTGAATGCTGAAAAAGAGCACCAGAATACTGTGAGATAGAGAGCCCCATAGGTTGAATCGGAAACCCTGTGCAGGGTCGGAACCAACTCCACGGCACATTACAACAACAACATAGGTTGAAAGGCACTCAAAATGCAACTGGTAAAGAGCTTCCACCTGGAAGTAGAGTTGACTGTGGTGACGTGAATGGAATAAAGCCTTCGGGACCTTCATTTGCTGATGGGGCACAACTCAAAATGAAAAGAAACAGCTGTAAACATGCATTAATAATCAGAACATGGAATGTATGAAGTATGGATCTAGGAAAATTGGAAATTGTCAAAAATAAAATTAAACACATAAACATCGATATCCTAGGCATTAGTGAGCTGAAATGGACTGGTATCAGCCATTCTGAATCTGACAGTCATATAATTTACTATGCTGGGAATGACAAATTGAAGAGGAATGGCATCGCATTCATCATCAAAAAGAACATATCAAGATCTGTCTTGAAGTACAATGCTGGCTCTGATAGGGTAATATCCTTATGCCTTCTGACATGTAACAATGACAACAACCATCAGGTAAGAAGAGCCAGTAGTGAAGAATGTCATTTGGATCCTGAGATCCCTAAAAGCTGACCTCCAAATCCAGGAGACAGAGAGCAGTGATGCTAAAGTAGTAGCAGTTAATCACAGGAGCTAAGTTGCAGACCCATAAAGCTACAGCTGAGTGCCTTCAGTCGTAGGCTTACTCAAGGCAAAACGGAATGTCTTTTGAGCATTTGTGGGCAGCATTAAAAGAGCTTTGTAACAGGCTGGAACAGGGCTGAGAGATCAAAGACCAGAGAGAGGCAGTTCTACAAGCATGGCTGAGAAGAGGATGTTGTTGTTGTTATTAAGTGCCGTCGAGTCGGTTCCAACCCATAGTGACCCAGTTCAGGGTTTTCAAGACTGTAAATCTTTACGGGAGCAGAAAGCCTCATCTTTCTCCTGCGGAGCGGCTGGTAGTATCGAACTGTTGACCTTAAGGTTCGCAGCCCTATTCGTAACCACTATGCTACCAGAGCTCAATGTGCAAACTATAATCCTATATGTGCTACAACCTTAACAGTTATCTCTGGATGGTGGAATTACGGTACAATTTTATTTTTATTGTTATACTTTTTTCTGTTTTCCGTAACAACTATGTTTTACTTTTATAATCAGATGAAAAAAGCTAATGGTCTTTTCTTCCTCACAAAATAAGTGAGAAAGAACACTGGTTATTTGACCTTCCTACCGAAAGTTCTTAAAGCACTCAGCTGGTAACCAAAAGATCACAGGATGGAACCCACCAACTGCTCCCCATGAGAATGATATGCTAGCTGCTTTCGTGAAGATTTATAGTCTTTGAAAATCTCTGGAGCAGTTCTACTCTTTTGTACAGGGTCGCCATGACTTCATATTGACACAAAGACAGCAAGTTAATTTTTTTTTTTAACTTTTAAAGCAACTTCTAAGGAGCTCTGGTGATGCAGCAGTTAAGTGCTTGTCTGCTAATCCAAAGTTTGGCAGTTCAACCCTACCAGCCACTATGTGAGAGACAGACGTATTAGTCTGCTTCTGTAAAGATTTGTAGCCTTGGTAACCATATGGAGGACTTTTATCCTATTCTGTAACTGTGAGTCAGAATCGACTCCTCAGCCATGACTCTGGTCTTTTGGAAGCGAGTTCTGAAAGTTCCTCATCTGAAAATGGGCCTTATCTTAATTCTTTCCATAAATGGCTCATCGGGAAGAACAGAATAAAGTGCTGAGAAACATGAGCTCCACTCCAGTATTGGTCCCCAACCTTCCACTCAAACCTTTTGGATGTGCTCTAATCTCCACCCCTCCATCTGAAAGTTGGCTTTAATCTCAAACCTGGGACTCAAATAAACAAAAACTTTGGCTTCAGGGGACAGGAGGGATAGACACTAATTCTCAAAGACCAAATTCTCATAAGCACAAACTCACTAAAACTATAGAATTCCAAAATCAAGATGGGGTAGGGAAAACAGAGAGTGAAAAAGAGAAGGCATTCAAGCTGGCATAGTGGATGAGAAGAAGTATTAATTCAGCCTCAAACACACCTTAAGAATCTACCTAGGCAGCAGAAGGAAGAGTCCCCAGTCACACAGAGAGAAGAAGCAAATAGAAATCTAGATGGTACCTCTGTCCTGCACACGTTCCTTCACCCACTGGGTGGCTGCAACAATGCTCTCTGTCTGGGTGACATCCAGAATCACTGTCTCCAGTCTGTTTGATGTCTGGTTTCTCAGCTGCTCAGCTCCCTGCTCCGTCAAACACCCAGCCAACACCCTCAGACCTCGCAGGTCCAGCTGCCTGGCCAGCAGGTTCCCAAAGCCCGAGTCACAGCCCGTGATGAAGATGTACTTGTCTCGAAGGTTGCTCACCACCTGTCTCTCTCGGTACCAGCGTAGAAGATAGTACAGACCTATGAGTCCTATCAGGTAGAGCCACATGTCTTCAGAGGACAGAGACACACAGGCTGGGATCAGAAAACAGTCCTCACCTCTACAATCAGGAGATCTGTGCAGGCAGGTTGCCTCCAGTCTCTCTGGCACAGAGTCTTCAACTTTCTTCCTGTTCAATTACTATCTTAGGCAATATTGACTCTGGCACCAATTTATGCACTCTGATCTACTAATGCCAGTTCTAATGTCCCCACTAACACCTTCCCAGACACTTACCCATTCAAGAATACCTCTTTCTAGCCAGTCTATATCAATATGTCCCCTCCTCTTTGCTCCCCATCCACAAGTATACACACTCACACACACAAGCACACACAATATAGTCCCCTCAGTTCAGAACTGTGAGTATTTCTTTTTGTTTTCTGCTCAAGTTCTGAATTCTGGTCTCCATGACCAAAGAGAGGTTTCTACTGGGAGGATACACATAGAATACAGGACACAGCTAGATTCAAAGTCTGCTCTGCTCCCAACTAGCTGTGTGACCCTCTAAGCCTGGGTTTCTTCATCCAGTTTAAAACACAGAGTTTCTGTACTGTGACAAGTAAGTCACTATCACTCTCCCTCGGACGAGAAAGAGAAGGTAAAAGAGTATGAAGAACATGCACATATTGCGGAGCTGGAGAATTGTTTTGTCATATATATTGTGCCACAGTGAAAAATAAAAAAGAAGAGAGAAGTTAAGAGTGCAAAGGAATAAGTGCCCCTCTGATGGAAAAGAAAATACAGGGTACCACAAAGAGGGAGTTTGATCCAAAGACAAAGAAAGCTGAAAAGAAAGAATAGTACTAGAGCGTTTAGCAAAGAGTGGTGGATAAGAAGGGTTGAATGGAACAACTTCATAAAGTAGATGTGGAAATTTTCCTCTTTCACCTTCTAAAAATGTCATTTCCCCAGCCCTGGGTGCCCAGCCACATGGGTAAAATCTAGCCCACTCAGGACTGACAGTCTAAAAGCAGAAATCCTAACTCCAGCTTTACTTTCTAAATGATGCCACCAGAACTCAGTTAAACAAGAACAATAGGAACAGTGTGTCCTAAACTCTCTCAAGTGGGAAGGGCTATAAACTCTGGTCAGTAAAAGGGATTCCTCCATCAATTGGGACCCGGAAGCTGCTGGAAAGGAGGAGGAAGCTGCCCCTCAGAAGGCTAAAAAAAGAACATAAAAACTGTTGACTAAGAGGACTTCAGGGGGAGGCAGAAGATCATTACTACCATTTCAGGACAGAGGGGGGAAGGTGCATAGAAGAGCAGAGAGCTAGGAGGAGGCAGGGATTTTTCTGTCTGGACATCTCCCCACTCAGCACATTTATCAAAGTTCTGACCCAGAAGTCAGGGAAGAAGAAGAGATGCACTGGGAAAAGGGAAGGCAGGTTTCAAATGCAGGCAGAACAGACAGACTGGAGCAGTTTCCAGTCTCTGTATTTAAAGTGTAAACCTTCTCAGCAGGAAGCCAACTGGTTCCCGAAGTTTATCCTCTAGGTGAGAGGTTACAGTAACATAGCACAACAGAGGAGGAAGGAAGTCACCTAGAAATTCTGAGTAGATCAAGGGAACATGCCAACCTTAATCTGGGATCCAAAGTCTATTAAAGGAAGGGTCTTATCTAATTAGGAGCTCTTTTAGCATAGTGGTTATGAATCGGGCTGCGAACCACAAGATCAGCAGTTTGAAACTACCAGCTGTTCCGCGGGAGAAAGATGAGGCTTTCTGCTCCCTTAAAGATTTACAGCCTCGGAAACCCTGTACAGGGTCGCTGTGAATTGGAATCAACTCCACACCACCACCTCGTTTAATTGATTTTTTAGCCCCCTCAGTAACCACAGTTTTTTCAACCCCAAAATCCCAAAGTGATTCTCACATTCCTCTTCCTTCACACCTCCTGTTTCACTTGTCTTTGAATTGCTGGGTTCCAGCAGCTTCAGAATTCCTTCCAAAAGAACAATCCATGGAATTTCCTGAGGAAGAGAGGAACCTGAGGAGACTCACCTGGAAGCCACTGGGGTTGGGGAAAACAAGCAAAACGAGAAAGCCTTCAGAGGGTATTTCCAGGTAGACACTTCACAGCTATGAGTCTCCTGCAGTGGGTGCCCCAACACAGACAACTCCACCCGCTACCTGGGGAGGAACAGGTGACCAAGGATGAAGTTGCACACCAGAGTCCCAGGTGCACTCAAGAAGAGCCAAGTCTCTTGTGCTTCCTGATGGTGAGAAACCAGCTGTAGAGTCCCTGTGGGAACATTTGCTGGGATTGCTTATAGAGGATCCACAGTTCAGCCACATGGTAACCACTTTCTCCTGTATCAGGGTGCCCCTCACTTATTCCCCTGTCTCCATTCAACATGGGCCTTTTGAAGACACAAAGGCATAGGAAACTAAAATTGGAGCTAGTAAGGGCCGGAAGTAAGGGTTAATTGCACAAACTTATTTCTTGCACTACCCTGAGTGCTGTCCCTATGAGTCAAGGAGAACAAGCAAGGGATGTGGATGATCTAAAAATGAAGATGACACATTCATGCCCTGTAGGAACCAAAGATCTGAGCGGTCGATGAGGTGAGAGTTGCTGGTCATAGACTCTTGAGCTACTCAGAAAGGGCCAGGATTGCTAAGGGAAGGGTAAAAGGCAACCTTCCTGGTCTTTACACCCACTGTAGACTCTGAAGGGACTGGATTTCGGCCCCAGCACAGAACCCCACACCGCATCTGTTCTCTCCCCAGAAAGAAACCTGGAAGAGTGGAGGGGCACTCTCCTGAGTTTTCAGTAAGACTGGGTGAGGACATTAGCCTTCTTTTTCAGCAGCATTTTTGTTCCCTCCTAGCAATGTCAGCACCCTTGAGTCATAGCCTGAGCCTCTGTGCTGGGCCACAGCAAGGGCCAGGGATTTCTAACTTTCTTGAAGTGATAGCAAGAAGCAGATATCCAGCCAAACCACAGTTCTCTGACACCCTCTGGAGAGGATGCCTAGAGGTGAGTCCATATCCCTAGAACTTACTCCCAGACTATAAAATGAATCCACAATTGTTTTTTGTTTGTTTAGTTGGTTGGTTGGTGTCTATGTATGTGTGTGGTGTGTGAAAAGAATATCATTCCATTCAAGAGGTTTCAGACTAAACTTGAAGTTCTTGCTTTGCTTTCAAGTGGTGGAACATGGATTGATCTTGGGTGGGTTGACATCAAGCATTATAGGACTTGTGCATGAGGGCAAGGTCCCATCATCTTTGTATATTCAGCATTCATGCAACTCACATTCTTTGTTGTATGTTGTTGTTAGGTGCCATTGAGTTGGTACCGATGCATAGCAGCAACCCTATGCACAACAGAATGAAACACTGCCCGATCCTGGGCCAATGTCACAATCGTTGCTTCATTTGAGCCCATTGATACTGCCACTCTGTTAATCCATCTCATTGAGGGTCTTCCTCTTTTTCTTCAACCCTCCACTATACCAAACATATCCTTCTCCAGTGACTGGTCCCACTTGACAATATGTGCAAAATATGAAAGATGGAAGTCTTGTCATCCTGACTTCCAAGTACATTTCTTCCAACATAAATCTCTTTGGGTTTTGGTAGGCCATGGTAGCTTCAATATTCTCCTCCAAAATCATAACTCAAATGCATCAACTCTTCTATGTTGTTCCATATTCACTATCCAATTTTCGGATGCATTTGAGGTTATTGAAAATACCACGGCTTGCGTCAGGAACACCTTAGTCCTCAAACTGACATCTTTGCTCTTCAACACTTTAAAGAGGTCTTGTGCAGTAGATTTGCCCAATGCAATATGTCATTTGATTTCCCAACTGCTGTTTCCATGAGTGTTGATGGTTGATCCAAGCAAAATGTTGGAAACTTTGAAAACTTCAATGTTTTCTCCATTGATAAGAATATTGTTTATTGGACCAATGGTGAGGTGCTATCTTTTCTTTTCACTGAACCCATACTGAAGGTTGTGGTCTTTGATTTTCATCAGTAAATATTTTAAGTCCTTTTCACAGTCAGCAAGCCAGGTTGTATCATCTGAATATTGCAGATTGTTAATGAGTCTTCCTCCAATCCTGATGCCACGTTTTTCTTCATATAATCCAGCTTCTCAGATTATTTGCTCAGCAAACAGGTTAAATAAGTATGGTGAAAGACTATAACCCTGGCGCACACCTTTCCTAATTTTAAACCATTTGGTGTTCCCTAGTTCTGTTCGAACAACTGCCTCTTGGCCTATGTACAGGTTCCCATGAGCAAAATTAAAGTGTTCTGGAATACTCATATTTCACCATGTTGTCTAGCTTGTCATGTGTAGTCAAGCCTTTGTGTAGTCAAGAAAGCACAAGTAAACATCTTTCTGATATTCTCTGCTTTCAGCCAAGATCCATCTGATGTCAGCAGTGATATCCCTCATTCCATGTCCTCTTCTGAAACTGGCTTGACCCTCTGGAAGTTCTCTGTCAGTATATGGTTGCAACTGTTTCTGTATTACCTTCAGTAAAACTTTACTCACATGAGATATCAGTGATACTGTCTGATGGTTTCCGCATTTCATTGGGTCACCTCTCTTTGGAATGGGCGCAAAAAGGGATCTTTTCCAGTTAGTTGGCCAGGTAGTTGTCTTCCAAACTTCTTGGCATAGATAAGTGAGTGCCTTGAGTGTCACTTCACTTTGTTGAAACACTTCAATTTGTATTCCATCAATTTCTGGTGCCTTGTTTGTTGCCAATGACTGCAAAACAGCTTGGACTTCTTCCTTCAGAATCATTGTCTCTTGATCATATGCTACCTCTTTTGGTACAGTGATTCTAAGTATTCCTTCCATCTTCTTTTGATGCTTTCTTCATCATTCAGTATTTTGGCATGTTGTTGTTATTGTTAGGTGCCATTGAGTCAGTACTAACCCATAGAGACCTTATGCACAGCAGAATGAAACACTGCCTGATCCTGGGCAAACCTCACTACTGTTGCCACGCTTGAGTCCATTGATGCTGCCACTTGGCCAAT